AGAGAGAGAGAGAGAGAGACAGAGACAGAGAGAGACAGAGACAGAGAGAGAGACAGAGAGAGAGACAGAGAGAGAGACAGAGAGAGACAGAAACAAGCATTATGATCGTTATTTGTCTGCAGTTCACTGATCTCCCCCTCAGCACACATGATATCCTGGGACCTGTTAGCTTTAGCTTCAGTCTTTAAGGACAGTAACACCCTCAGAAAGCAAGAAGACATCAGACCACAGCAGCTCCACTAAATAAGCCATTTATTGAGTTGAGTCTGGTGACAGAGATCACACTGATGAAAATACAATATGATGAGAATCAGGTAGTACGGTTCTGCACTACTGTATGTACCGACATCATCACTGCTACATTGAATTATTATGTTATTGATTATTATCAAACTTTAATCAGAAACTTCAGCAAATCTGATTTTAATCTTTCATTAACGTTTACATCATTCAAGTTTTCAATTTCCATCACTGAGACAATAATCTACTGACCACCAACGCCAGGAAGTGTTAAGTAGTAAGAAGTACTAAAGTATAATAAACGTCTGGGTCATTTAGAGACTGACAGAGGCTAAGAGGGTGTAGAAGCATGCACTGCCCCCTCAGTGACTGATGACTAAATACTGTGTTTACTTCAGGAACTGTGGGACGCTTCAGAGCACCCACTGACTTCAGACCAGCCTGAGCGATCACACAGAGACACGACCAACCGCTGCAGCTTCAGGAACATCTGGGCAACCGGGTGGTCAATAATAACTTAATTCAAAGAGGAGATAGCTGAGTTTACCCTCCACTACGTCCTGCTAGCTAACCTATTTATCTGCATAATAAACAGCATCCAAACAGGAAGGAAGTGATAAAGAGTAAAGCCCGCCTCTTGCTTAATGTGATTGGCTGTCAGGTTCAGGTGTGACACTGACGAATTTACCTGTAATGTGCTGCAGAGCACGCGAGCTGTACCGCAGGAAAACGGCGGTTCGCTGTGTTTCTGTGTGATCGACCCCTCAGACTGTAACCATGGCAACGGCTTTCAACATATAATACACATAAAATACTGTTTACTGAACACTAACATGCTGACATGCTGACTCACTAACACTGTTGGCTAAACTTACTGATCCATTTGACTTTGACCTTGGAGAAGAACGGAGGGCTGTGATTGGTGGAGCCTCCGAGGAGGCGGTTCTCCACCACGCTGCGTTTGATGGAGCGAACGTCGCCCGCTGATAGGCCGGTTTTCAGAGAGAGCAGCGCTGACATGTGAGCGTCACTGCGGAGAGACAGAGATCAGATATCACCTGGTGGACAGGTGAGAGCAGGGACTGACCCTGAATCAGCTCAGACAGGTAGCTCTCTCTGATGCTGCAGGCTTTCAGTATTTTTCCGCTCTCTTCACACACCTGTGACACCTGAGCCGCACCTTACCACACCCACCGTATCCCACGGCAACCAGGTGTTCTGTCCTACTGCTGAATTCAGGTCACAGCTCCAGTGAATAGGATGACACATTAACCCACAGACGCATCTGGGAAGAGCTGTGGTTGTACAGTAATAATAATAAAGGTATTACACTGTAAAAAACACTTTGTCCTGTTTTTATGTATTTTTTAAATACGTGAAAATATTAATACAATTACAAAAATAGCCTGTAATGTAAAATAACGTGAAAAATCCAGTCATGGAGTTTTATTCCATCTTTGATTGTAATCTTTAATACAGGTTTTTACCGTTTACAGGCTGAAATATAAAGCAACGACTTTATACTGTGTACATTCATTTAAAAAGTCTTCAAAATAAAGGTTTTATTCTGCGTTCACATTCAGATAATGAATGCTGGTAGGTAGTCTGTGATCAAAACTAAGATCAGGCAGCTGTTTCCCATCATGCTTTGGGTCTTGCAGTCAGTAGAAAGGGTTAAGGTTAGGGCTCTGAAGGCATCGGCCGACTCAATCTTGTGTTAGATCTTTTTATTCCCAACGAGGAGCTGATCTTCCTTCATATTCACTGTATCAATCAGCTCTGTACAGTGAGTTCAACCTGATATCAGATCAATAATTAATATCTGTATCCATTAAAATCAATCAATGCTTCAATAAAAGTAATTCATCAATAATATAAAACATTACCTTTACTACAATGTGTGTACTTTTAGCTACCAATGTGTCGTACTTTTACTACAATGTGTGTAACTTTGACTAAGGAATGGCCCTGTGTGTCCCCCCCTGGTGTAAGCCGTGAGGTCACCTGAACTTCCTGGCCCCATGCTGAAACCCATCTCAGCTGTAGACCTTCCAGGACCTGCAGACGGGGATGCTCAGCAGACTCGCAGAGGATCGTGCCCCGAGCAACAAAGACTCGCTGGCGCAGCCCTGACGGGACCACCCATATTCAACATTCAAGGTTCAAATTCCAACGCTTTTTACTTTGCTAATACGTGCCAAATTCTAACAGAAGTTATCTCAGGACACTTTTCACACTAGCAGCAGGTCTACGCCACCGAACCTCCCCTTCTCTTCAACATTTTACAGGAACCCCAACGTAACCAACATGCACAAAGCACGCTTTGGCAGACAGGGCAAGGAAAGAACTGCCTTTTCAACAGGCAGATCAACTAACGGACGACGATCCTACGTCGGCTCCTAAGGTGGGCTGGTCCATCTGCCTGCCGACCAGGCTTTGCGTGAGAGAGAGAAAGGGAGAGAGAGAGAGACAGACAGAGACAGAGACGAGACAGAGAGAGAAGATCAAAGACAGACAGACACGGCCGGTGCGAGGTCGCAAAAAACAGGTCAAGTGTTAATCCGGCAATCCATGCAGGAACATGGCAGAGGTAGGCCTCAGCCAGGATCCCACTGAGAACCTGCAGGACCGAAAAGCACAAGAAACCTCCGCGAGGAAGGAAGTGAAGTTAAGTAACATGCATTACATCGGGACAATGAATGAGGTGCAGAAAGAGGATGAGAGAGGAAGGCAAGAGGGAGCTCAGTGCCGACCAATGGGACCCGATCGCCCCCGATAGTCTAGCGCCCTA